TGTAACTATTTGTGATAAACTTGCTTTAATTTTTAAGAACCATGGGCCCAATTCTCACAAGAAATGTCACCTTTTTGTTTGTACTTTTTAAACTTTTTTGAAATCCCTCTCATCTGAAGGAATGTTATATATTTGTGCTAACAAAATAACAGTGTCTTTAGTAAAATAAGGTTAGAAGCAACACAACCTCTTTCAGCAATTATCAAGGCATCTGCTGCAGGTTCAATACGTTTCTATCACATCAGAACATGTGTAATAAACATGAAAACCACCCTTAAGATTCAAGAAGCTCGTGCCTGAAGTAAAACTTGTCTGTTTACATGTTCTATATTTCACAGAGTTAAATTAATTATACATGTAAGAAAGTAAGTCACAAAATGTAACAGAAACAGATGTTAAAAGAGGTAATTTCACTGTTCATCAGATAACTGATAGTAAACTACATCCAGAAGTAAAGCAATTAGTGAAAAATTACAGAAAGTTCTGATGTTAGTGGTTATGTAACACTAGGGTATATAACTATGTACACAGTAAGGATTTCTAAATACAACTAGATGTCACTGCTGGTTATATTGATAATAAAAAATGTATATGGTACAAAATTGTAGTTAATAAATATTATTTGAAAACTGAACAGGTATTTGGTGAGGCAAACATCTGGTACTGATCTTAAAGTAAAAATGTTCAAAGTTAAAAATAATGAACATACACTGGATTCATCTGACCTAGGGTTAAAAATTCAAGGTGTGTAGAAAAACTGCTTAAAATACTCAAATGATCAACATTTTAAGTACATAAGTTAACACGATCTTTTGAATATTTTAATTACTAGACCTAGCTTATTATTCTTCATTTATTGAAAATAAACTATATTATAGATAAATATAGCATTAAAAAGTCTGGCAAAGGTAATGGTATAACCATTTTGAAAGGTTAGGTCTAGGGGTGACTGATAAATCTTTATCATTTTTTGCATTTTGATTTCATAGCCAGAAGCAGACTATTTTAATTCACAAAATAAGTAAGTTAATAAATATCTATTTAATTGAAACTGACTGGATATATAAAATTAAAGTTTCTGACTAATGATAGAAAAATAGAGAAATTCTAAGATGAAAAAAGTATTTTTAATGTTTTTCAAAACAGTGTCTCAGAACAAATTTTTGGAAATTTCACAATCTAAAAAATGACAGAAATACTTAGACTATACAAATTTTTTTCCCAAGCCAAAACTATATAATATAATATAATGATATTGCAAAGTTTTATGCAATATCATTAAGTATTGTCACTGAAAGAAAGGAAAAAGAAAAAATTGGGGAAATCAGTCACATCCATCCTATCCAAACAAGATTAAATAAAGTTCTCATTTGAAAAATAATCATTTGAAATTGTTGCAGAAATGAAGTCCAATCTCAGTTTGACTATGAAATTAATATTTAACTCAATCATGGTTGGAATACAGTTATAATATGAACAATGAAGTTCAGGCTTGACAGACAACTTTCCACTCAAAAGTTGGTTGGACAGGTCACTGGCTAATAGCCTGCAACCCCCCCCCCTCCCCCCATATATTGGCTGGCTATACAATTCTCATGGAGTAACTGCTTGAAATTAAAATACACAACATCTATGCTTATTAAATATTCACCCAATTAATCATCTTAATATCCTCACTATGGTGTTAAAATTAGATTTTTATGATATGCTAAACTTCAAGTTTTAATGATTTACATGATAATAGTAATCTTTAGTTATAGCCTTACATTTCCTAAATAAGTACTTTCACTTCCATCTGTTTTTCTTAAACTCACACAAAAATCCACAAGTATCTAATTATTTTCTTTACGAATGTTCCCATGGTTACCTGCTTCCATTACATTTACAGTTTGATTCAGAAGTAATTTTATAAAAAATAATTTTAAAAATTCTTCTTAGTCTGTGTGTCAGTGTAATGGTCAAAATCAGAGCAACAGAAATGGATGCTAAGATTAAACAGGTACACCAGAAATCAGTTTATAAATAAAGCTTTCAATGTAATATTGTAAGTCAATACAACATATCTCTAATAAGGTATTTAGTGTATTCAAGCCATATTAATAACATTCATAAACAAAATAAATAAACTTAAACTCGTATACAAATTTTTACATTTACATCAACTAAAAACAAAATATTCATTGTATCAAAAGTTGTAATTAAATAGTATTTCAGAACTTTAAAAGACAAATTTTTGTGTTTCAGTTGTTGATCCTAAATTATACTTATGGAAGTTATTGTATGGCTTTACTGAGTATATTGACTAACCATTGGATATATACCCACACTAATTAATGTAATATCTATGTACTTGTGGAAAACAGTGACACAAAACTGAATACACTAAACATTAGCTCCAATTTAATTTCCAAGTTAGCGTGTCACATCTTTTATTATAATCCTCTTTCAATCTACATAACAAAAACACACCTTTTTCATATTTACAACCCTAATCTTTAAACTACTCATCCAATCTCTTTCAATGTTGCAGCTTCTACCACACCAAAAGGCAAACTATTCTATTGGCTGAAAAGTAATACTGCCCTAGTTGGAGTTGTGTCCAAATTTTCCATATTTAAACTTATATCTTACTACTTGTAACTCTTACTTTTGATCATCTAGTGCTCCTAAAAACTCCAACCATGCCCCTCATAACTTTATATCCATTCTGAAATAATGTGACCAAAACTGTACAATATTCCAAACGAGGTCTAACTGAGAAAACTAATGACCACCTTCAACTTGTACTCAATATTTTTTATTTGACTTATTACTAGCTATACTCAGATAATTTTCTCAAGTTCAGTAGAGTTCAAATCTCTGCACAATTAAATCTTCAGTTAAACAAGAAATAACCATTAATATAATATGCACACACAATTAATTTACTGGTTATTCCATTCTCAATGTCATTAATGAAAATGAGAAATAACAAAGGACTGCAATACACCACTTGTACCATTAATCCACTGTAACTAACAACTTCTAACTCCAAACCAACTAAATCTGTTCCACTACCTCATATTTAATCCTTTCTCCTAATGCCATTAAGTTCATAATAACTATCTTCCTATACATAACTTCCCATCTGAAATTCTGTATAGCTTATCCCTCCTTCTGCAAAATCTCAAACCCTTCCTCAATGACTTAGTAAATCCAAATCTCTATCCCCCTATCCATTATCTCTAGCATATCCTATAACTAAGGTAAAGACACAAGTTTATTTTTACTACTTAATACCTTAACCTTCTTGTACATACTTAAAAATTACTATTTTATAAAAAAGTCTACCATTGCTTGAGTTGAAATAATTACCCAAGTAATTATTTACAGTTTTAGATGATCCATTAGAAATACCAAAATCATTATCACCAGAGCAGAGATGGTATACTGGTATTTTCATCATCTCTCTCTATATATACAAGTGTATGTATAAAAAATAGGGAAAAGATTTTTGTTAATATGAGTAAATATACATAAGAAAAATCAAAATACTGAATCATAACATACTCTATAGAAAACTTACCTTTTGGTCTTTTCCACTTGTAGTTATTCAAATTCTTGAGTTTTTACACTCAGTCTTAGGAACCACTGAAGTCCAAATTCTATTTTAAATAATTGAAGTAACCAAGATTGAAAAACAAACAACTGGAAAATAAAACATGTTAGGCTTATATAAATTTCACTTAAAAATAACCAAGACTATGATTTTGGTAATGTTACATGTACTAAGTTTAAGCTTAATAAGCAAGATTTATGTAGTTTAACAAGTAACAAACTAAACTTAAAAATTAGACTAAGAAATACAGGTGTTTTCATCTAGACACTTTTAAGATTTTAATAACAAGATTAAAATACTGCAGGCTCAGACCTAATCTAATGTTAACTAAGTTTACATATATAATTTTAAATTAGCCATTATAATTATGTAAAAAGTAACAATTAATTAAATTTACTTTCATTTGAATTAAGAATTTTTATCAGGCCTAACAAAATATGCCATTAAATACCGACTAGGCCCATTACTTAAAAATAAAGCTTCTAAGTTTTAAAAAAATTAATTTTAATTTTAAGTATTACTAAAGTACACACAGTTTAACAGTATGCTTTAATATTTTGTAAATTAAATAAAAGCTGTGGTTTATCTATGTACGTACCATTTCACATTCCAGATTATAAATGAAGACGTAGCAATTGGTTTTATCTGACTGTATGCACTATTTGACTGTCAGTTTTTACCTCGAATGACCAGCCTCTAAGCCAAGTGTTTCCTCATTAGCATATAAACACATATGTGAACACACAAGTTGTTGTAAAAACTTGTGATCAAACTTTGATATATATACATAGCACTAAAATGTCTAAAGGATCATTTCTGCATAATTTTCTAAGGGTGTTCTTGTTTCAAAATGAGTTTGGTTAGGTGTGTAAAATTAGTTGACACTTTCAAAGATGCAACTTTTACTAGCATGCAAGCACACACACACTCTTCAGGACCATGACAGTGATTGTTTATTGTTCAATAAAGATTTTTTTTGCCTTCCTTAATACCCGATTCTTGCTTTTTTTTTACTTCCTGTGTTTGGTGTGTAAGTAATTTCTCTTCTAACAAAGAATAATCAGTATTGTTTTTTAGCAAGTGTAGATAAATTAGCATATTTATTAAACATTTCTCTATACATATAGAAGGTTATACCATAGTAAACAAAAAATATGAGACATGGATGTTCACAATTATTTTTTTGTTATGTGCACAAGTACTTCACACAATGTATATTTCCATTTATATAAAAGATGTGCAAACAACAAATGAAAATTTTGATGATTTTTTTTTTTTGCAATAGCTCATAAGTTTCAAGCTTGTTAGTATAGCAGTTTGACTTAAAAATAATGTATTATTTAGATGTAAACAACAGTTAATTTACTGAAAATTAAGTCCCTTAAAAAAACAAATCACTCACCAGAATCATTCATAGAGACTGAGCCAAGTTTAGCCAAAGCTGATAAGTTGTTCAGAGCATTTAGATGAGCAGCTACTGCTGCATCACTACCAGGAGCAGAAATCTGAAGAAGATCATACAAGGTTGGGGGAGGTGTTGGGTTAGAAGATTCTTGAGAAGAGCTACGCTCAGCCATGCCAGCCAACTGAGCCAAGTTGTACTGAGCAACAACATTATTGGCCAAGTCTACATCTAGAGATGAAGGCACTGAAGTTTTATCACCAAGAACATCAGGAGGTAAAACAAACCCCTCATTATCAAGAGAAGAAGCTGAATGGATGGGAGAATTCTGATGTGGAGGTGGAGTGTCTTCAGGTTTTGGCAGTACTGAAGACTTGCACAGAAATCCACAGATTTCTTGTATACTTTTCTCAAAATTAGATTCATCATATTTAAACTTGATTTCTACATTGACATCAGGCTTGGGTGTGTTGTTGATCAGATACATAAGCTGGGAACGGACAAACTGTAAGGATACACTTTAAATGTCAAAAGTAAGCCCAGAAAATGGAAACTTATAATTAAATACAAAATGTCTTTATTAGTAACATAACAAAAAGAACTGAAAGAAACCGAGCAATCTACTTCTTTATGTATTTAATATATTGCTGGAGGATCTATCATATTCACTTAATTTTCTGCAATTATGAAAAATTATACAAAAAGCAAAACACGGAGAACATCATAAGTCTAACCTCTTCACAACAATAGAATTTTCTTGTCATTGCAATTGAAATACAAAAAGTCATTAAAAAACTGGAACATCCTGGGTCCTCTAATGTTTGACTCAGGAGTAAAAATATCTGCTTAGTTCATCTCTATTTAGTGGGGTTTTAATACAAGCAATCTAAGCAAACAGAACAATCAAGATAACTTGAATAATTCACTGAAAACATATAAAATGGTGTTTTACCTTTCTGTTCAATTTTTAACATGTAAAACTATTAAGTATTTAACAAATATTGCAAAGATTACATCATGTCTTTTGTTTATCCTCTTTCAGCGAAGGCTTATGTAGTGCCTTGAACATCTTAGGAATATTTTATGGATGGGAAAGTATCCAATGTCTTTTTTTTCTAAAGATTAAAATGTTGTCAAAAGAAGCACCTCAGTTAACAGAAAATATCCAAGACTTTTTTTAATTTTTTAACTTTACAGGTTCATTTTTCAGATTATTCTTATTTTCATAATGCATTAATCAAATATTATTTTATATAGTAAACTTCTAACAAAATTAACTATGAAACATTAAAAAGTGGAAAACATTCATAAACATTTAAGAATCATTGAAGAGTTACATGCTAATAAATTAACAATATTTTTATCTCTAAAATATGTATGTACAGTATGCACAACAATATGAACTAACCTGAAAAAAATGAAAAACTTCATTAAAGAACACATTTAAGATTTTAAACCTGAATTTGTATTACTTATTTCATTTACACGTGTAGAACTTTATATATATCAGACCTCAAACGTCATCAAACCAGGAAAAAAAGCCACCTTTATATATTAGTCAATATTTAACTGAAAGTCATTCTAACCTGTTTTAGAGTGAGCACTTCAATGGCATTCCCATGTTGTAGGAGCTTTTTGGTGAATTTACAGGCATCCTCAAATTTGTCCATTGTTCTTTCTACATTATGCATTGTCTCCATGAGAAACAGTTCTTTTTCAGAATGCACATTCTCCAGTTCCTGTAAAAGATCCTCCTGTCGTTTATCTAACACTGCTTGGTACTTCATAAAGGTCTCCTGTTGTAGAAATAATAAAATGTTTGTTAACAAAACTAGCTCTTCAGAAAATATCACTCAATTCAAAATTACACACACAACTTTTAAAGTTTACCAATTTGTAGTTACAAATACTTTGAGTAAATGCATTTTTAATATATATAATTAATATATTAATTTATATAATGAAAAAATTATTAGTTGAGTGATCGGAGATACTGTAAGACACATGTGAAGAGTTTCTCATTTTAAGTTGTTTTTTTTTCTCCTAATT